TTTGCCATGCCCTAGTCTCTTGTGTGTCAACCCACAAATGTTGTGGTACAGCTTGTTTTGATTTGGTTCACTGTTGTTGCGAAAACAAGGTCAAACAACCTGTATACAACGAAAGGAGACTGCGACCACACAAAAGGCCATACCATCTTGGTCTTCATACCTTCGAGTAAATCGGTTAGTTGATTCATTCGCCATATTTCGTTGAGGTAAATACATCTCATATGGCTTTTAGTTGGTTTAAGGAGGCGATTGAAATGGATTCGAAAGTTGGCCTCAACGGAAGCTGAAGTTGCATTGTCTCGGAGTTATGACTAGATTTGTGTGAATATGTTTCAGCGCACAGGCCTACTATAAGAGCTAAGAGACAACCTCCTTCAGTTTTAATGAGACCAAATTATGAATCGGTTCCACGCGTTTCTTCAAACGGAATAAAAGGTACTCCAACATTATTCTATTAACGGATTCTTATAAATACAGCTTTTCTAAATGCCTAAGAATAAATGCTGTCAAAGCTGAAAGTGATGTGCCAAGAGGTCAACTTGAGAAGATATATGGAAACCCATAGGTAAAATATGGTGTACCTGAGAGAGAAGGACCTCCGGGCTGATGTAATCTGGCGTACCAACGGCAGTATGACAGTGAACGCGTCGAGTCTTACTGTCAACAGCAATGCATGTACCGAAATCGGCCAATTTCAGGTGACCATGTGCGTCTACGAGCAGATTGTCCGGCTTTAGATCGCGGTGAATGAAGCCCATTCCATGAAGAGCCCGTAGGGCAAGGGTCACTTCAGCAGCATAGAAGCGAGCAGCAGGCTCACTGAGCACCTCAACCTCGTCCATCCAACCGACCAAATTGCCACCGGGTACGTACTCCATCACCATGTATAGGCTATTGGTGTCCTGTGAACAGGAAGTAAAGATAAAACAAACATTTGTCAATAAGAGACAATGGTAGCGTATAGGAATGTAAGGAGCACCTTGCAAGGTTAAAATAAAAGTGACTATAAAATGACTATAAAAACCCAAGTAACGAAAGATAATGTAGAGGTAATAAGATAGAGAGAATGTATAATAAAAATTGTTTTATTTAATAAAAAGATTAGAATGATGAACAATTTGACTTACTGACAAGGCTCTTAGATGTAGATAATTGGCTTAAATTATTTACGTGAAATGACATGTCTTGTTCTATCAATTGTTGTTTTGAATCGTTATCAGTCAGGGACAGAATTTCATTTCGTTATCTTACTGACCTGCAAAAGCGTAGCAGTTTCTCAATGATAAATAAACATTATGATGAATCACAAGACGGTGAATAACTACAATAATAACCTATAAAGGCAGGTGATCATATGAAGTATCCAGAGAGAAGGACAGAACGATGCAGTAAGTTGTGTTTCCTTGCTTTTCTTAGTTCAAACACTTTCTTTCTACGCTTTCAAGTTCGCCCAAGTCAGCTAATAGAGTTGTGAAAATTTCATGTTGTGTAATAAGCTTATAAACTAACTAAATTACTTGGTGGTAGTCTGAAGGAACGTGTGATGAAGTGAGTTCAAGCAACAATTGTAAAGTAAGACAAGTCTCAGCATGTAGTACATATACTCTAAGCTTAAACATTTTGATATGGTATTGTGTAATGTGTCAATATAGAAACATATGCGTCACTATTATTATTCTGTATTCATGTATGTATGTGTGTGTGTGCATGCATATGTCTGTTTACGTCTGGAACTGATGAAGGTAGCCTTAAATAAACTTCATCCTCGACCATCAAGGCCTGAAAAACATTCTTGTAACAATCACTCCCATTTCGTAATGCTGAATACATGTGTAATTCAATTAATTTGCTTTTTGTGAAATATAACTAACAAGAGAATAGTATAGATATGACTTTTTCAAGGTGGCTTAACGCAGTTTCTTTCTCAAAACTCGAAATGTATCAATTAAGCACAATCAGTTCTTGAATAAATTTCTACCAGCAATCCGCACGGGAATATGAATGTATACAGTAACAAGAGCAACAGTAATTGCCCTAATAATAGCATAATTGCTGCTACTTATTTCAATATAATTGAAATAAGGTAGATTGAAAGTGTTCATTTTAATGATGGTTTGAATTTGGCTTTAGCAAATTATTCGGAGCGACAGAGGAACCTTGTGCAGGGCATTTACTTTAGCTTCCTCTAACATAATATTCATGATAATTTCCAGCATTGAAACGCTGACTTGGTACATCCCCAGCTAGCAGAGACCCCGACCAAACCAAAGCCATACCATCTTGACCTTCATATTTGTGATTTTTAGGCTTGCTATTCGAGAATGTCTTCATGCTCTGACAATGACTATCATTGCGGGAAAGACGAAAGTTCAGCACAGATCCAGCGAAATAGCATAGCATATACAACTAAAACGATTGTAGAATCGCCAAGCCGATGTTCCTTCGTTTTCTGAATATGTCAATATACGAATCATTTGTGAAACTATAGGAAGATTCTTCTAATTCCAGGTTATATATATACATATATTTAGCAGTCTAGCTCTTCGAATAGTGATAGATAAAGCGATAAATAAAATGGCTCTATAGAAACTGTGGCTGTGGAGTATGACCAAGAAAAGTTCTGATAACCAAAACGGACCTGAACACGTCGGAATCGCCAAGATTTGAACAGTATTCTCAGCAAAACTAGAATTATCAAACTGCAAGCAACCCATTCAGCCAAGCAGCAGTGTGCAAACGAGGCAAAGAAGATTGATAACCTTCAATGTAAGAAAAGGTCGAACCATCACATAAGGGCATAGATGCATCACAAGCTGCTGTACTTTTGTTGAAATGATGGCAAGGCGATGATGTCGACCATGACTCAGCAGCTGAAGAACGCACTTCAGGTAAAACTGGCATTATAAATATTTCATGAAAAATGTTTAGCTAAAATTGATGTAAATGTCCATTTCTCCGTCTT